GTGTTCTTGTTCCTACCCTATGTGGACTCCTAGCTCCCTTGCAGTGCTCCTCTTTCTTAGTACAGTGGAACCTCGGCTTACGAACGCCCCACGATGCGAACTTTTCAGGATACGAACCGTCGTTCAGTCAATTTTTTACTTCTGGATATGAACGAAATTTCAGGATGCATACTTTCCCCTCAAGGCAGGCTCCTTAAATAACTAAATAAATAAAAATATTTATTTCTTTGCAAAGGTTACAATGTGTGTTTACATATATTATGATTGGAGCAAAGAAAGCCACTATCATAAGAACATAAGAAAGAAGGAACATTGCAACAGGCCTACTGACCCATGTAAAGCAGGTCCATGTCACCCTTTGGCTTAGCCCAATGACCCACCTAGTCAGGTCACTTCCACTTAAGGAAGGAGCACGGCATCAGACCTAGTAGCACAAGCTAGTCAGGTCCAACTCACACCCACCCACACCCACTCATGAATTTATCTAACCTATTTTTAAAACTACACAACGTTTTAGCCTCTCCACCTGTACTCGAGAGTTTGTTCCACTCATCCACAACTCTATTACCCAACCAGTGCGTTCCTATATCCTTCCTGAATCTGAATTTTTCCAACTTGAAACCATTGCTGCGAGTCTTGTCTTGGCTGGATATTTTCAGCACACTATTTACATCCCCTTTATTTATTCCTGTTTTCCATTAATACACCTCAATCATATATCTGCCCTAATTCTACGCCTTTCTAGAGAGTGCAGATTCAAGGCCCTCAGTCTTTCCTCATAAGGAAGATTTCTGATACATGGGATCAACTTTGTCATCCTCCTCTGCACGTTTTCCAGTGCGTTTATATTCATTCTGTAATACAGAACTGCGCAGCATAATCTAAATGAGGCCTAACTAAGGATGTATAGACTTGAAGAACAACCTGAAGACTTCTATTATTTACACTTCTTGATATGAAGCCAAGGATTCTGTTAGCTTTATTGCAAACACTAATGCACTGTTGTCTTGGTTTTAGATTACTGCAAACCAGAACTCCTAAGTCCTTTTCACAATCAGTAATATTAAGATCTACATTGTTTAGTTTATATGTGGCATGGTTATTTTCCTGTCCAACTTTGCAGTTGTCTATATTAAACTGCATCTGCCACTTCTCCGACCATTGCATCAGTCTATTCAAATCATCCTGGAGTGCTCTAGTGTCCTCATTAGAATGAATTGGACGGCCTATTTTGGTGTCATCAGCAAATTTGCTTATGTCGCTATTTATTCCCTCATTTATGTCGTTTATGTAAATTGTGAACAACAACGGGCCCAACACTGACCCCTGTGGAATACCGCTTGTGACGTGCCTCCAATTCTGATTTCTCCCCATTTATGCAAACTCTCTGCTGCCTATTTGTCAACCATGCCTCCACCCAGGAAAAAATTTCTCCTCCTATTCTGTGTGCCTTAAGTTTCCTCAATAGCCTCTGATGTGGAACTCTATATACACAATTTCATATCCCTATACACAATATCATATTCAATACCATGATCTACCTCCTCAAACACCTTAGTGAAAAAGTTAGTAAATTCGTAAGACGGGAACGCCCCTTTGTAAAACCGTGTTGAGATTCATTAATCAGTTTATCCCTATCAAGATGGTTACGGATTGTTTCGGCAATTATTGATTCCATAAATTTTCCCACTATGCAGGTAAGGCTTATTGATCTATAGTTCGAAGCTGAGGACCTTGTAAATAGGTATTACATTTGCCATTTTCCACTTATCAGGCACTATGCCAGTTTGTAGTGATAGGTTAAAAAGATTAGCTGAAGGTATGCTAAGTTCCTCTTTACATTCCTTTAACACCCTTGCAAACAGCTCATCAGGACCTGGGGATTTGTTACCTTTTAATTTATCTATGCGTCTGAGGACCATATCACTAGTTATCGCAATCATGCATAGTTTTGCTTTTCTTATTCCTTTTTTTATTTCTCTCTTTAACTGAATCTATTAATTTCTTAACTGCCCATCTCCTCTTTTGATACACCTATATATGACTCTCTTTTGACCAATGAGATGTTTTAATATATTGTTCATCCATTCGGGATCATTTTTCTTAGATCTAATTTCCCTACTCAGAACAAAAGTTGTCTGGGCAGCTAGAACTATGCTCTCAAAAACGTCATATTGGCAACCAACACCACCTACCTGACCTATATTCAGGTCATCCCAATTTATCCCACCCAGGTAATTTCTCAATCCCATGAAATCGGCCAAATGAAAGTCTGGGACAGAGATTTGATTCCAGTTATCTGGGTAATTCCATGATGAATTGAAACTAAGTGATTTGTGATTGCTTTCCTCAAGCTAATCATTAACCTCAAGATTATTAATTAATGATTGTTTGTTGGCAAGAACCAAGTCAAGCAGATTGTTTCCTCTAGTTGCTTCTGTCACAAACTGTTCTAAAAAGCAATCCTGAACCGTATCAAGAAAGTCACTAGACTCAAGATTTCCTGTCATATTGTTCCAATCAATTTGTCTAAAGTTAAAATCTCCCATTATCACAACATTTTCGTATCTAGATGCCTTGTGAATTTTGTCCCATAACAGCTTACTGCCCTCCCTGTCAAGGTTTGGGGGCCTATAAATCACATCCAAAATTAATTTGTCAAGACCATCGAGAAACTGTAGCCAAACAGATTCTGTGTCCGATATTTCTGATCTTATATCATGTCTTAGACAACAATTTAATTACCTCTGATATACATCGCCACTCCACCACCCTTCCTGTTGATCTTATCAGTATGGAATAGTTTATAACCCTGTATGTTGCATAGAGAAGGCATTTCTCTATCTTTCAGGTTGAAGCAGGTCTCTGTTATAGCAATGATATTTATATTACCTACACTTGCAAGTAATCTTAGCTCATCTATCTTATTTCTAAGACTTCTGCTATTTGTATAGTAAACCTTATGGGAGCTAGTCATTCGTTGTCCTCTACTATCTCTCTTTGTTTGTTGATCAATTGATTTGCCTTTACTAGCAACTTTGTTTTGAATATTGTCTTTTAAACATATCCCTGAGGTATCCAGGTAATATCTACTGTTTTCAGCCCTAATACTGCAGCCGGACTGTTTCCCACAAACACCCATACCTCTATAATCTATCAGTTTAAAGTCCTAGACAAGTCATCGATTACCCTCTCAATCAAATTGGCTAATGCAACCACTCCAGCCCCAGAGAGATGAACTCCATCCCCTGCATACACATCACGTTTGTCTTAGAATTTGTCCCAGTTATCAATGAATGGGCTTACAAGTTCCTTGCAGTACCAATTGCCCTAGACATCCATGCATTGCCCTAGACATCAATTCATTGCCCACTCCCATTCTAGGCAAGATGCTACATATGATTGGGATCCCTCCCTTAGACATCACTACTTCTATGGCTGACCTGTACTTATCCAGTAGCTCCTGTCTCCTACCCTTCCCAGTGTCATTGCCACCAGCACTAAGACAGATAATAGGCTTGTTCCCATTACCTAACATAATATTATCCAACTTGCTATGTCACCAACACCAGTTCCTGGGAGGCACACTGTCTGACCTTCCTATCTCTGTTACAAAAAGCACAGTCCATATATCTTACCTGAGAGTCTCCCACAATCAGAATATTCTTACCTTGATTAGCATGCCGAGGCATTTCAGGCAGACTTAACCTAATACAGTACTTATAAACTACTCAAGTCTAGACAGGTGAACAGTGGTAGTGGTTACCAATGTGTTGCTGATGGTAGCACCAACTACTGGCAGCCTTTTGATGTTTCTCCTTACTGTTATTATTATTATTATTAGTAGCAGTTGTAGTAGTAGTAGTATAGTAGTAGTAGTAGTAGTAGTAGTAGTAGTAGTAGTAGTAGTAGTAGTAGTAGTAGTAGTAGTAGTAGTAGTGGTAGTAGTATTACGTGGTGAGAGGCTCTTGATCTAGGGAATTGGATCTGTGTTCCAGTTCCTTAAATTAAGCCTGAATACCTTCCATCCCCTCCCCCCACAAACGCTTCCTCATATAATAATAATAATAATATAATAATAAGAACATGATAATGTAATATAATAATAATAATAGTAATAATGTAATAATAATAATAATAATAATAATAATAATAATAATAATATGTATAATAATAATATGTATAATAATAATATAATTATAATAATAGACGGCTTCAAAAGGCTGTCACTAGATGGTAGTGAATACCACAACAGTGCAGGAGAGGTTATGGAAGCCTCCACTTGTCATATATATAATGACATGTTTTATTCATTCTAGAGTATATTTCAGGCTTCTATGTTATTTATATTGTTTAATATGTCATATTAGATTAATTGTGATAGATAAATAAGCATTATATTGAAGGAGTACTTTGTCGTGTCTCCAAACTATAAACTCTCCTCAGCCGACAGCACTGCTACGTGGCCACATACGTAATGACATATTTTATTCATTCTAAAAGTATATATCAGGTTTCTATGTTATTTACATTGTTTATGTCATATTAGATCAATTGGGATAGATAAATAAGCCGTAGAGTTGATATTAGTGTTATATTGAAGTGTATTTTTCCTGCCTCTGTGAGCAGGAATTCCGCCGGAACGGATTAATGGCTTTTCAGTTAATTTAAATGAGGAAAATTGACTCAGCATGCGAACAAATCAGGATACGAACAGAGACACAGAACGGATTAAGTTCATAAGCCAAGGTTCCACTGTATTTTACTGACTCTACTACTACTACTACTATTACCTCTACCACTACCTCTCTTCCTCCTTTCTTTCTACCTCTGTTATTCCCGTCAATGTCTGCTGGTCTATATACTCCCTCCTCTCCTTTTTGTTAGTGTGACTTTGTAAATGGTCCAAGTCAGCCGGAAACATCATCATAAGCTCCTCTCTCCTATGTGAGGGTTATTTGTATATAGTTACTTGTAATTGTTTTTTATGGGGAGGGCAGCTGTGGAAGATGTAGAGTGTGGTAGCAGCGAGAAATACCTGTGTGAGGCCTTCAACGTTCAGCGTAAGAAATTGAGAGACATCTCAGCAGTACTAGACCAGCAGACAAAACTTCTCCGCATGATCATGCAGGTCAGTCCCCACAATCTGCGCTCATTAACTTTACATATATTTACACACGAAATGGATGGTATGAAAAGAGAATAAACGGTCAGATGGAGAAAATTTAAAGATTGTTTCCTGGAGCACTTTTATTATAATAAAATTTTCATGGTTCGTCAAATCTGTACCAGACGTTGAATCAAAACATGTTTTTGGTTGAATATGGTTCACTGTCCATTTTTTTTTTCTTTTTTTTTTTTAAAGATTGCAAAAATTATTTCTGAAAATTTTCGAAGATTTGTCAGTGAAACTTTTTTGGATATTTTGGATAATATGCGGTTTCATAAATCTACAATATATCCTTATGTATGAACTCCGCACGGAAGGTGTTCAGAGCACTCAAGAGCATGGAGGAGAACACAGATCAAAAATATCCAAAAAAGATTCATTGACAAATCTTTTAAAAATGCCAAAAATACATTTTGCAATCCTAAAAGGGACAGAGAACCATATGAACACTTTCTTGATATTCCTTCACTATTTAAGAACTTCAAAACTCTAGTTGCATCTAAAAATCTTGATATAACAAAAAAAATATTGTTTAAGAATTCCCAAAAATGCTAATGACTGTGTTTATAATATTCCTCATAAAAAATACAATATAATTTATTCTGGAAAAAACTGGGGAAAAAATGTTGAAATAAAATTATAACAACATAAAATATAAGACTGGAACTGTTTATTTATTTATGTTTATTTATGTGAGGGATTTAAACCATAAAACTGATTTTCAAATTGCCAAGAAAGTTGTATCAAGCAAATCTGTGATGAAACGATATATAACACAATCAAGCTTAGTATAAAAATAGTAGTGAGTGAATATTACTAATTGGATTCTTATATAATGAATAGAATTTGTGAGGATTTTAAGCTGTACTGACAAAATTCCCCTTTGCCTGACATGTCAGTTTTAAATTTTACCTTAAATGTGACGTGAGTGAAAGCATCACAAGAATGGAAACGAATTCTCAGGCTGAGTGAGTAGCGTCATATGTCAGGTCTTATCTCAGCTTTATAAGTCTTCTCTTGTTTTATTATTTGTAGTTTCTCGATAGTGAAAGAAATTATGAAAGTTCTTGAAAAATTATTTTTCACTGTGGTTATATTGCATATTAAGATATCACCTGTTTCCTGTGATCTTACTGCATGCATATATATATATATATATATTATATATATATATATATATATATATATATATATATATATATATATATTAATATATATATATATATATTATATATATATAATATAATATATATATATATATATATATATATATATATATATATTATATATATATATATATATATATATATATATATATATATATATATATGTCGTGCCGAATATGTAAAACTGGTCAATTAGCAAGAACTCATTTAAAATTAAGTCCTTTCGAAAATTTTCTCTTATACGATTAAAGATACATTTTTTTCATTAATGTTAATGTAAAAATTTTTAATTTTGCAACAAAAGAATCTTAGAAAACTTACCTAACCTTATTATAACAAGAGCAATTTATTTTAGCCTAACCCAACTAAATATATTTTAGATTTGTTTACAGTAATTTAATACTAAACAAACACAGTGAAATATATTTTTATCGTTAGGTTCAAAATGATTTTGGCGAAATTATTGCATACACAAATTTTCACTTGTCCTATATGGCAAGATGAGCGTTGCTATTTAAGCCAAGATCGCAAATTCTGCCTATTCGGCACGACATTATATATATATATATATATATATATATATATATATATATATATATATATATATATATATTTATATATATATATATATATATATATATATATATATATATATTATATATATATATAATATATATATATATATATATATATATATTATATATATATATATATATATATATATATATATATATGTCGAGTGAGGGAGTGAGGGAGGTATAGAACAGCTGCTGAGTGACGCAGACGGGAAGATACCAATTGTAATTTGTGGGCACTGGTTGTTGTGGAAATTTCAGCTAATAATCTGGTGTCTTCACGGCAAATTTGAGGTTTCTCGGCCTGAATTACTAATAGAAACCCGTGTTAATGTCCTCTGCTGAAGAACTGGGACGGGAAATTTGCGGGACCTCAAGAATTATGTGTGGATGTAGGCTGGAATATTGCTGAACACTAACAGCACCTTTCAAGGCAGGTGAAATTGCTGACCTAGAAAATGTACAGAGAACCTTCACGGCATGCATAACTGCGATATACCCCCTGATTTACTGGGAACGCTTGAAGTTCCTAAACCTGTAATCCCTAGAACACAGGGGGGAGAGATACATGATTATATACACCTGGAAAATCCTAGGGGACTAGCACCAAACTTGCACGTGAAAATCACTCCCTACGAAAGCAAAAGACTTGGCAGATGGTGCAACCTCACCTCAATGAAAAGCAGCGGTGCCACTAGCACGATAAGAGACAACACAATAAGTGTCAGGGGCCCAAGACTGTTTAACTGCCTCCCAGCATACATCAGGGGGATTACCAACAGACCCCTGGCTGTCTTCAAGCAAGCACTGGACAAGCACCTAAAGCAAGCACCTTACCAGCCGGGTTATGGTTCATACATTGGATTATGTGCATCCAGCAGTAGCAGCCTCGTTGATCAGGCCCAGATCCACCATGAGGCCTGGCCATAGACCAGGCCACAGGGGCATTGACCTCTGGAACTCTCTTCAGGTATACTCCAGGTATACGACCATCACTCACAGGGAAGTGCGCCACTAGTCCTCTCATTTCGATCTCTAACTGGCCAGTGAAGGGTCTAGGTGTCAGGCTGGTAGTGGTGTGACCCATCTACAGTAATTAAATGGTAATACAGAGTAGCTGGTTTTAATATTGTAATTATTAATTTAATGTCAGGTCTAGCTTTTTATGAGAGTGGAAGGGAGTGGGCATCAAGAGAGTTACAGTCCTGCGAACTACTATGGCTAAAGTCCAACTTATATATATATATGCAATAAGATCACAGTAAACAGGTGATTTCAGAATATGCAAAACAACCATTGTGAAAGAATAGAGAAGTTCCAAGCGATTTCGTGACTACTCACATTATCAAGGAACAATGAAAGTAAAGCATCAAAGGAAGGTATATAAAGGGGTAGCCCACACCTCACTATCAGATCCCACAACAACGAAACACCTGACACGAGATGGGAGGCCCGCCGGCCGAACTAGACAGGTCCTTCATACAACCCACCAACAAACTATTCTACCCAAGAAATAAGAAATTTAAAAAATTATTATTTGTCCGATGTATTATTAAATTCTTCCCAAATTTTATTAATTATAAATGGATCAAATTTATATAAACCAAAGGAAATATTCATATTATTGTCAAAACTGCTTTTTGTGAAACAAGATTCAATTATATTCCTGTCGACCATGGACCATGGACCATGTGTTTTTACTGTATCAAGATTTTTTAATACAACTTTAATATTAAAAGTCTTAAGAAGAGAAGGCATATCAACCAAGTATATATATAAATATGTATATGTCGTGCCGAATAGGCAGAACTTGCGATCTTGGCTTAAATAGCAACGCTCATTTTGCCATATAGGACAAGTGAAAATTTGTGTATGCAATAATTTCGCCCAAATCATTCTGAACCTAACGAAAAAAATATATTTCACTGTGTCTGTTTAGTATTAAATTATTGTAAACAAATATAAAATATAATTATTTGGGTTAGGCTAAAATAAATTGTTCTTGTTACAATAAGGTTAGGTAAGTTTTCTAAGATTCTTTTGGTGCAAAATTATAAATTTTTACATCAACATTAATAAAAAATATATATCTTTAAACGTATAAGAGAAAATTTCAGAAAGGACTTAATTTTAAATGAGTTCTTGCTAACTGACCAGTTTTACATATTCGGCACGACATATATATATATATATATATATATATATATATATATATATATATATATATATATATATATATATATATATATATTATATATATATATATATATATATAATATATATATATAAACATTGTCTCTACGTCCACAGCAGGACTCGAACCTGCTAACTCTGTATCAGAGTCCACAGTACTTTACCACTGAGCTAGACCCAAGATAAGCATGGGCGCTTAGCCAAAGCTAAGTGATGTTACCCCATACCCCCGGGCACCAAGCTCGTTTTGAAAGTTATTTCATCGAATCCTGCCACATGCAGTGGACAACGAAAGATTTGAAATGCTTAACAATTCGCAAACAGGCGAAATTATTTACAGACATTGTCAAATTGTTAAACATTTCAAATCTCTTTCGTTGTCCACTGCATTTGGCAGAATTCGATGAAATAACTTTCAAAACGAGTTTGGTGCCCGGGGGTATGGGGTAACATCACTTAGCTTCGGCTAAGCGCCCATACTTATCTTGGGTCTAGCTCAGTGGTAAAGTACTGTGGACTCTGATACAGAGTTAGCAGGTTCGAGTCCTGCTGTGGACGTAGACGCTGAGAATTTAATTGCTATTTTATGGACTGAAGTATTCTTAACAAGTACTGGCGGAATGCATACAGTCTTAGTGATGTTCTTATTACTATAGGTTTTGAACTGAGCTAAACGAGAGATATGTCTTTTAGTTTATGCAATACTTTAATTACTATTTCATGGATTGGAGTAGTGTTGTGGTGGAGTCCAGGTAACATGCAGTTTTAATGACCATAGTGTAGTAGATAGGTTTTACACCAGACTATAGAGACGGTTATTGACTATTTAATTCCAGAAATCCTCCTCCTCCTCCCATTCAACTAAATCAACGTTATATGCTTCAATTTTCTTGCTACATCTATCTTGCAGAAAATGGAGATCAAGAGTGAGGCAGATGAATGCGATGAAGGCGTCTCACTAGACGACTGTATGAAAGAACATTCTATCTCCTCCTCCAAGTTCTCAGCTTCCTCAAGAAGATCCCGGTGCTCTACAAATTATTAACAAGACCTTACTCCACGAGTACACTGGTGGTCAGGAAGACTGATACCTCCCTAAGTTCCTTCCTCCAAGAGTACACTGGTGGTCAGGAAGACTGACTCCTCGGTACGTTTCTTCCTCCAGGTGTACACTGGTTCCCTGTTAAATGTACTGAGCTACTGGATCGTAACATCATCGATCGTGTCGTAGCTTATTTGAATGACTCTTTAAGTCCCAAGCTCCGTGAAATACTGAGTTTGTATGTCCATGGCATCACGTACCATCCTTATACGTGATCTTTTGAAAAGGTCGAGACAAATATATACTTCTCTTTTGTACTTTTCAATCTTCGTGTGTACCTTCCGATGTCATCCTGAAAAAAATCTTATTTTGTATAGTATATCTGCTATTTGTATAGTATATCTGCCTTTCCACACTGTCGAGCTCCAGCGCTAAATGGAACCGAGTAATTGTCCAATATTTTGTAAGAATTTATTTAATGAGAATCATTATTATCGTAAAAGGCTATAGGAAATATTTTGTGTATCTTTCTGCCGCTGACTATATAAATTATGATTTTAGTGCTGTATTATATTTGTGTGTGTATGGGCGTGTGTGCATCAAGATGTATGCTAATGAGCTGCCTGGCTGAACTTAATCCTGAGTAGTAGTTAATTTGTTAGTTTTTTATACATGTCATACTTATCCTCTGAGAGATAATCGATAAAGATTACATGGGTCCAGGGACTCGGCCACAATATTTTTAATTTCCAAACAAGTTACAGTGAAACTGACCTTCTTAAAATTTTTATTTATTAACACTCAAAAATGAGTTGTTTACATAGATTTGAATTCACTCATAAAAGCATTACAATTTAGCTTAAATGTTGTTATGAGGTACTTGTAACACCCAATATTTTAGCGAGGTTGCGTTGAATATAGACGAGTTTAAATTGTTATGAATTATTTGCAATGGGCAAAATGAGGATATTTCTCCAGAACAGCTGATAATATGCCGCTGTGGATAAAAATACTTTGACATTTCTTAATAATTTTCTGAGAAAATTGACTCTGAATTCGTGAATTTTTTTTCGCTTTCCAGCACATAATGTCACAGGTTGTGACAATAGTTTCACTGGCTAAGTTCACTCGTACATTTAGTTAACCGTACGTCAGCTGATGGTATAAAGTCCAAGAGGTACGTAAAGCTTAGATGTCACTACTGCCCAGTGGGCAGTAGTGACATCTAAGAGTCTGCTGATTTTGTTGGATCCACCATACATATGTGGCTCGTTCTGCACGATAGAATGACAACGACAGAGTGGTGCAAGTCTCTCAGCTTCAAATCAATGAAATTGAATTAAAGTTTTCTTTATTATTATTATCCACAAACTACTAGTAGACAACTCGAAGGTGTTCTCTGCCTCTTCCTTGACGGCATAAGCCTCCTCCTCCTACTACTGGTGCAGCTGGCACTGCTGCTATCATAAAGAATGATAGCTCTCATGAAGAAACTGGAGCACGCATCAATAACTGGGCCTCTACCCAACAAACAGAACTGTTTGCCATACACCTTACACTCAAATACGTCCATTTATCTAAGGTTGACACTTTAATTGTAACTGATTCTCAATCATCCACAAATGTTCTTGTATTTATTTTGTTATGTAAAAATAAATGCTGCCGCCTAGGGGTTAAAAGCCTGTCTAGGAGCATGTAAAATATTAAACAAAATAAATCAGCCTAGGGCCAAGCTTGTTCCTTCACAAAAAAGCGTTAATTAAATAGTCAATATTTATATTTATTATAAGGAAGGACACAAAAACTAGATGTACAAAAATATAACTATATTAATAGTAAACTAACATATACAACATACAACTTACCCACTACATAAAAAAATCACCTAACACCAGTACGCCTTTACCAAGTATTTACATTAGTTCACTAGCACACTGCTACTAGTACTTAAAAAAAAATATAAACAGGGAGACTCCATGACACCCCCCATTCCTTGTGCCGGCCTCTTAGCCTGCAACAAAACATTACTCTCCACTACACAGACCCCTACACACAAAAGGGCCTTAAAGGAAATATCAAAAGAGTAAATACAAAAGTTATTAAAATAACTTATAGCCTAAACTTACCCAAAAAGCCACCCCCATACTCACACAAACACTTAAAACCACGACGTCTTACGACGTCATACTCCAGCTGCCGCTCTTCCCGTACTGCCACATACACACCTCTCATCCTGGCTACTCTTCAGGACTTATATTGCAGCGCTGTGTAGCCCTTGTGGCTTATCGCTTTTTTTTATTATAATAATAATAATTCAGGACTTATATGTGTCTGATTTCTGAACAAAACCAATAAACTGACATTATATATGAAGCGCTTTTTATACACATTTTCTACAATACCCTGCGTAATAGCTCTCATTAAGTGTAAATTGTGGCAGGCTTGTGTCAGAAGCCAGACACAGGTACTTTATGAACTATTAAGTGAGAAATTACTTACATGAGGTTTATTACCTACAAGCAATTTGGATGAGGTAAATGGGACTTAGTCACAGTAGACCGTAGAACTGGTGTTATTAGAAAAGATTCATATTACCACTTACCATTTAATTTTTTTTTATATATATTTTATTTAAAATACAATACATAGCTTAACATAAAAACTCCTTAAACAAGGGTTGATATACATTTAATATTTAATTACTGGATCACAAATTTTATTTGGAACACATCCTAACACTACCCCAGTAGCTAGAGTTTACGATGGCTAACGCAAAGCTACTATATATTATGGGTAAGAATCACTTAGCTAAGGTGTGTTGCTGGGAAGGATCGGAATCCCCTATTTTTCCATCCTTGTAGCCGAATTGTAAGGATTTTCCACACAGTTTATGTCAATTCTTCAGCGGGAATGTGTCAGCAATTTCTAAATTACGGATTGACGCCGATATACACCAACTGAACTTCGATGATGCCTCATTACCCTGCACAACTCAGACCAATGTTCACACAGTTTTACTATGGCGTCCTCCCGTCCGATCGGCGGCTGTTCTACAACCGCTACCCCCCCCCCCCCCCTCAAAATTTCTCGAAGGGTCAAATCAGCATCACATTTTAATACACAATTATTATATTATTCAAATTTATACATGCTGAATTTAGGAAAATTCAAAATTGTCCACAGGTATGGTAAGATTGCAGACAGTGGAGTCAGAGTACACATGTGGATTCCATCTCACATTGGTCTTCAAATGCATGATAGAACTGATGAACTGGCTAACTTATATCCCTTCAAACAGGGAGTAGATTATAATCTTGGCTTATCAGTTAGCAGTTTAATAACAATAATACGAAAAGAACATCTGAACTTTATTTGCTTAAGAGAAAGGGAGACTGACACCAGTCAGTCCATCTATCATGCAGGAGGAGCCACATGTCTATGGTGCATCCAACAAAATAAGCCGACTCTTGGATGTCACTACCACCCGGCTCCGGCTGGGTTACATGTATCTCTGGGAGGTTCAGTCACCACCACCAGATGTAAATCAAACGAAATGTAAACTTTGCCAGATGGACTATTGTCACACCTTAAGTCATTATGTACTGGAATGCGATGAAATTAATGAATTCAAAGACAACCACTCAGAAATATTCAAGAAATGTCAAAGCATTTTATCCACAGTGGTATATTACAAACCATTCCGGAAAAATACCCTGACTTTGTTCACAGTAAATAAAACATTATCACTTTTGTTTGCGTGCTGTGTGTGTGTGTGTGTGTGTGTGTGTGTGTGTGTGTGTGTGTGTGTGTGTGTACTCACCTAATTGTACTCACCTAATTGTGGTTGCAGGGGTCGAGACTCATCTCCTGGCCCCGCCTCTTCACTGATCGCTACTGGATCCTCTCTCTCTCTGCTTCCTGAGCTTTGTCATACCTCTTCTTAAAACTATGTATGGTTCCTGCCTCCACTACTTCACTTGCTAGGCTATTCCACTTGCTGACAACTCTATGACTGAAGAAATACTTCCTGGCTCTGCGACTGATCTCCCTATTTTCGTGTGTTCTCTGCCTTCTGTACTTTTTCCATTCTCTATTGCACTTTGTTTTTGCCTCCTTACACCGTCGGGTAAACCAGGGGCTCGTTCTGGTCTTCCCGTTGTTACTGTTGCCCTTGGGAATAAACCTTTCCACTGCCTCCTTGCATTTTGTTGTTACATATTCCATCATTTCATTTACTGGCTTTCCTGCCAGTTCTCTGTCCCACTGGACCTCCCGCAGGAAGTTCTTCAACCCTATGTAGTCCCCTCTTTTATAGTCAGGCTTTTCCCATTCAACTCCTGTTATTCTCTCCACTTGCAGCTCTACTATGTATTCAAAGCACAGAACCACGTGGTCGCTAGCTCCTAGGGGACTCTCATACTTGATGTCCTCAATGTCTGAGCTGCCCAGGGTGAACACAAGGTCCAATCTTGCTGGTTCATCCTCCCCTCTCACTCTGGTAGTGTCCTTAACATGTTGGTGCATGAGGTTTTCCAGCACCACGTCCAACATCCTGGCTCTCCATGTTTTGGGACCCCCATGTGTGTGTGTGTGTGTGTGTGTGTGTGTGTGTGTGTGTGTGTGTGTGTGTGTGTGTGTGTGTGTGTGACCTAACTAATGTTTGCATAAATAACTCATTACGATTGTGACCAGATATAAGTATGTCAATAGTTCATTATCACTGTAGCTTGTTTAGCTATCAAAACTTTGCGGTCCAGTCCCTAGATCCATTATGTACCTCTGTAATGTTGAGGTACAGTCCCTAGATCCATTATGTACCTCTGTAATGTTGAGGTACAGTCCCTAGATCCATTATGTACCTCTGTAATGTTGAGGTACAGTCCCTAGATCCATTATGTACCTCTGTAATGTTGAGGTACAGTCCCTAGATCCATTATGTACCTCTGTAATGTTGAGGTACAGTCCCTAGATCCATTATGTACCTCTGTAATGTTGAGGTACAGTCCCTAGATCCATTATGTACCTCTGTAATGTTGAGGTACAGTCCCTAGATCCATTATGTACCTCTGTAATGTTGAGTACAGTCCCTAGATCCATTATGTAACCTCTGTAATGTTGAGGTACAGTCCCTAGATCCATTATGTACCTCTGTAATGTTGAGGTACAGTCCCTAGATCCATTATGTACATCTGTAATTCTTTGACTACCGTCAACAGGATGGGTATGTGGTGCATAAAAAGATGTTAAACTGTGTAACTGTACTACTACTGCTGCTACTACTACTACTATTACTATCATTATTACTACTATTGTTACTACTACTACTACTATTACTATCATTACTACTATTGCTACTACTACTACTACTACTGCTGCTACACATTTACTACTGCTACTGCTACAATACACTGCTTTACTACAAAGTGCGCTAACTAAACTACTACTACTACTAATAACCTACTAACTGCTCTACACTTTGCTCTACACTACTACTACAACTGCAAACTAATATTTATTACAACTGCTCCTACTCCCTACTACTACTACGCTCCTACAACATCGCTACACTAACTGCACTACTACTACAAACTAGCACACTACTATTTACAAGTTGCTACAAACTGCACTACTACTGTTTCTACTACAACTATTTCAGAACTACTACTACTACTGCTACTATACTACACTACTGCTCCACTGCTGCTACAACTACTGCCCATTACTACTCTACACTACTGCTACTACTACACTCTGCTACTACTATACTGCTGTACTACTAAATCTACTACACTACTACTACACTGTTCTTACTACACTACTGCTCTGCTACTAATCCCCTGCAACTATTACTGCAACTACTGCAACTACTACTACTACTCACTACTCTACTGCTGCAGCTGCTCCCTGCCTCTTTACTCCCTACTCTTACTACTGCTACTACTCTGCTCTGCCTGTGCTGCTGTGCTGCCTGCTGCTGCTGCTGCTGCTCTTACCTGCTACCACAACTGTTTACTACTAATATCGCTGCTACTACACACAACTACTCTGCCTGCTGCTTACTACTACTACAAATTACTACTATTTTACTACTACTACACAACTACTACAACTACTACTACTACACTCGTCCCCTGTTTCCTACACAACTATTACTACTACGCTACTACACCACTACTACCACTACTGCTTTACTACAATACGCTGCACCTACTACACTACTACAACTACTGCTGCTTACTACTACAACCACACTACCTACTACTGCTGCACTACTGCTCCCTACTACAAAATGCTCTGCGCGCTACTACTACTACTACTACCACTACTGCGTTACTACTAATATCGCTGCTACTACTACTACTACTACTGCTGCTGCTGCTGCTGCTGCTGCTGCTGCTGCTGCTGCTGCTGCTGCTGCTGCTTGCCTGCTGCTGCTGCTACTGCTATTACTACTACATGCTTACTATGGTACTACTACTACTACTGCTGCTGCTGCTGCTGCTGCTGCTGCTGCTGCTGCTGCTGCTGCTGCTACTACTGCTATTACTACTACAACTGCTACTAATGGTACTACTACTACTACTACTAC